ATGGGGTTCTCTGTGGCAGCTTATGTTTACTCTTCTTCATCTGGGCTAATGGGGTATGAAGAAGGAATGGTATTGTCATTTTATGAGTCAGTCCTAGGGTGTTTTGGCAAAGGTATCTTTAAAAAAACCTATACCATTAGAAGATGATGGTAATTCTATTGATATGAGTTTATACTTCTAACTACTAATTTCAGTAGTTAAAATACAAACAACACATTTCAGTTTAAGCAACATATTTAAGTGAAAGTCTGGGGAATTTTAAAGAAAACCTGTAAGGGTTCTGGGGAATTGAGTTAATTCATATAAAATGCTTAGAATAGTACCTGGTCATATACTATGCTACAACACTGTAGGTCAATTATGCTCAATGGGATGTGGTTCTAATTCCTAGGCAGCATTTTGTTTGTCCTAGTTGTTGGGGTGACAGAGGCATTCAGTGGATACAAACTAGCAATGCTAGCCATTCTTAGGACTTCAATATGATAGAGTAAACTTCAGAAACATCAAACTGTTGGCCATTCTGAGAGAAAATATTTTTTTCTGCAATGTTCATTCCATGGGACAATACTGAATTACTTTGATATTCTACATATAAAAACTAGCTGACTTCCAAGAATATTATACTTCCTTTTTTAAAAAAATCTTGACCTGTCTTGCCCTTCCATTCCTATTCTAACACTTAGTTCCCATTTTCCCTCATTCTTTAGTTTGTTCACTTACTACTAACATGAGCTTGCTGTATTCTAAACTGTAGATTAGGACACTGTAGACCTCCAGGTAGCACTATCTCAACTATATGTAAGCCACCAATAACTCTGGAGCTGTGCAGCTTGGCAGCCCTGCCTCTGCCTCACATCTTCCTGATATTCAATCTCATTAACTGTAAAAAGAAACAGAGACCATCTCAGCATGTCTTCACATGTAGCAGTATCTGAGTACAGATATACCGCACTGTTAACAGTTCTTTTCATAGAAAAGGTACTCTAGTATTTTATAGTTTTATATTTTGACAGGCTACATTTCAACAAATTGAAGAATGCAGCAGGCATTTAAAACTGTTTGCTAACATGGTATTACAAATGTTTTAGTAGCATAGAAACAATGTGTTTCATGACATTTTCATACATGTCATTGTAGAGAGCCACTCAATTCCCCTAACTTGTTCCTTTTCCCTGTTCCCTGATCTTCCTCCTACCAGTCTTCCTCTGTTAGGTTTTTTTTTTTTTAGGCCTGGAACTAACTATGCAGATCAGGCTAGACTGGATCTCACAGAGACCTGCATGAGTATGCTTGCTGTGACCAAAGGTGGGCGTGAGCACACCCAGTCCTGCTATGATGTCTTATGTGTATATATAATATTAAATCTAGAGTCTACATGAGAAAACAAGGTATTTCATTTTCCTGCACTATTAACCTCTCTTGCTCTACCCTATTTCCCTCCACACTGATCTTTCTTGCCTGTTTTTTTTTTTTAAAGAAAACTTTTCCTGAAAACCTTTTCTACTAATAGTTATACCATGCCTTTTTTTTTTTTCCCCCTCTTTTTGAGATAGGGTCTCCCTGTAGCCCAGTTGGCCTGGAACTCACTGTATAGATCAGGCTGGCCTTGAACTCACTATGTAGATTAGGCTGGCCTTGAATTCACAGAGATCCACCTGCCTCTGCCTCCCAAGTGAGCCACCACGCCCGACTTTGTTTTTCTTTAACTCATCAGATGTTTGAGTAGGACATTTAGTACTAAATTTAATATCCACAAAACTTTTCTAGTAGTCCTTGATTTTTACTTTTACTCCACTGCGGTCTCATCTATGGAGACACTTTGTATGATTCTTGTTTAAATTTACTGATATTGGCTAGGCGTGGTGGCACATGTCTTTAATCCCAGCACTCGGGAGGCAATGGTGGATCTCTGTGAATTCAAGGCCAGCCTGGTCTACACAGTGAGTTTAGGCCAGCTGGCACTACAGGGACCTTGTCTTAAAAATTTTTTTTTTTTTTTTTTTTACTGATAATTGTTTTGAGGTATAATATATGACTTACTGTGAAGAAAGTTCTATATTTACCTAAGCATATGCATAGGTTGATGTTAGAAATGTTTGGAAGGTTTCATGTTTGTTGCATCTAGTTCCTTTAAAATGCTGTTCAAGCTTTCTATTTCTTTACTGATCTCCTATGTTGTTAATTTGTTTAGTATTTAATTATTTTTTTATTTTAAATAAGATTTTATTATTTATTATTTTATGTGTATGTTTTGCCTACATGTCTGTAAGTTTACCTGTGTCATGTAATGCCTGCTGAGGTCAGAAGAGGGCATCAGGCCCCCTGGAACTGGAGTTATGGACAGTTGTTAGCCATCATGTGGGTGATGGGAACCTAACCCAGGTCCTCTGTAAGAGCAGCCAGTGCTTTTAACTGCTGAGCCATCTCTCCAGCCCCTAGTTTTTAACTTTCAAAGGTGATACCATCACCTGCATATAAAGTATTCTGAAGAGGATACAGTTTGAGTAGGTCGAAGATTTCACTTGTGCATCTTTTAAAAAAAAAATTATTGTTTTATTATTTTTTAATTTTTTTAGGGCTTATACTCACTTGTGCATCTTTATTACTACCATATAATAAAGTCTACTGTATAGACTTCATCTACGGTAGGAATTAATTTCATATTATGACAAAAGGTATCTCTCGATATAAATGGCTCTTTCGTCTGCTAAAATGTGTAGTTTTCGTTTGCCTGATGTAACTTGGCGATTCTTTTGCGTTAATGAAAATGATTGTACAAAAATGTGTCTATACCACAGTCTGGGCTTTACAATTCCTTCTTTCTTTTATTCTTCTTCACCAAATATCTTCATGTACTCCTATCTTCTCAAAAATAATTTCTCTAAATGGTTTAATTAAATAGCTAAACTTGTTTACTTTTGGTTGGGAACTAAGCTGATGAATCCTAAATTTAGTTCCTCCCTTATTTTTAGAAGGGTGCTGTGTCTTAGCCAGCTGTTTCACAGTGCTAGAGGGGGCCATATCTGCCATGTATTTCTCATTCTGGGGCTGTGGCAGTACATGGCATGTTCCTCATACAGCAGATTATAGTGCACAGGAAGCCTAGCACAGCCTAGTAAAATGAAACACTTGGGTGCAATGCAGACTTCTATTTTTCGTCGTTGAGACAGGGTTTTACTCCAAAGTCAATCTTCGAAGTGCCAGATTATAGGTTTCTGTCACCATACCTGTAATTTTTTTGGCATAGTTGAACAAAGTTCACTTTATTTAATGGACTTACTCTGAAGATAAAATTATTTTTATCTTTTTAAAGAAAATTGTGCTTTCTTCTGTAAAATGATGGTAATGGAGCCTGACAGGCTTTTCAACTTCTTTTTTGTTTTTGTTAAAATTTTTTTTTAATTGTATGTGTATGTGTGTATTGCTTGCATATAGGTAAGTGCACTCATATCATGAAATGCCTGAGGAGGACAGAAGAGGCTGTCGGATCCCCTGGAATTGGAGTTACAGATTTGAACCCGGGTCTTTTGCAAGAACAGTCAGTGTTCCTAACCGCTGAGCCATCTCTCCAGCCCGAGCTTTTCAACATCTTAATACTTGATAAAACGTTGGTGATTTTCAAAATTTGGGAGAATTTTACTAGTTTACAAAAAAACTCTAGGTCTAATATAAGAAAAACAAATGGATGAGCAAGTAAATAAACCAAAGCAAACCAAACAGAATGAAAACTTCTCACGAAAACCAACTGCAGACCACTGAGCGCTCCGAGGCCCCCGGCTGCTGTCCACTGTTACGGGCTCCACCTTGGCTTGCAAAGCCACTCATTCCTCCCTTTTCAGACATCCTTATTCTCAATGCTTGTGATTAGGGGAATCCATGTTTTAGGGAACTGAATTACCAGTATTTATTTCTACTGTTCTATTACTTTAAAGATAGCATGTCTACTATTTAGGTCTCTATAAACGGGCATGAAACATTAAGCTATGAAAAGGCAGAGCAGTGAATTGTGCTCACAGTTCTAGTAAAGCAAAGAATGCAGCTGATGCTGACATGGATTCTCTGTCTCTTCTGCTCATATTTATTTGGGATATTCTACAGCTTTAGGTACTATCAAAATCTGAGAGTTACTCCATCCATTCTAAATTGGGGTGCTGGGCAAGAAAGTTTCTGATACTGAAGTTTGTCCACAGAAAACTTTATACAGAGATCCTAGAATCTGTCAAACACTAAAGTTTCCCTGAGTGTTAGGCAACATGAGATTCACATTCATTACTGTACACTAACTTATCATACATGGACTATGAAATATCTTTACAATATGATAGCACTCTTATATTAGCCCACTGAGTTTGCCCAATATTGGAGGATTTGATCCACATACTTAGATTTATATATATATATAAAAGAAGAGGCAAAGAGAAAGAAGTCAGCAAGGGACGTTTCCATCAACTGGAAGAGAACTCAATTTATTGATTTTGGATTTCATGCTTGTGCCATATCTACAATCTAAACGAAGTATACTTCTTTTACAGTATTTTGTGGAATTTATGTAAAATTCACAATTTAAAATTTTAAGTATAATTCTTTTTTTTTGATCTTTTTTGAGACAGGGTCTCCTTGTAGCCACAGCTGGCCTGGGACTCGCTATGAAGACCATCTGCCTCCCAAGTGCAGGGATCAGAGGTGTGCGCCACCACACCCAGTTTGTTAAAATAAAATGAAAATTTAAAAATGTGGTTGAGGGATTGGAGAGATGGCTCAGAGGTTAAGAGCACTAAGTGCTCTTGCAGAGGACCCGGGTTGGAGTCCCAGCATCCACAGGGTGGCTATGAACTGTCCTTAACTCCAGTTCCAGGGGAATCTGAAGCCCTCTTCTGACCTCCGCAACATTGCACAACATGGGTGCACTCACATACATGCAGCCAATACACTCATACACATAAAATAAAAATAATAAATAAAATATTAAAGAAAATATGGTTGAAACACAAGCAACATACCTGCAGGTGTGGTCATCGCTTACACTTGCGATTTCATTGCCTTCTCTCGGATGGAATACCAAATCATTAATGAAATCCGAATGGCCCTCCAGAACCTAAGAAAGAAACCAGCAAGAACACATGATCATGATCACTTCTCTGCCTCAAAACTATCACTTCTTTTTTCTATAAATACTTCTTGAGCAATCTGCTTTGTTTAAAGCATGATTTACGCCCTCACTTTTCTACAAAGAAGTTGATCATCAACACACTGCTATTAGCTTCATCTCTCCTTTCTAGTGTGCATCTCTTATAGAAATACGTCACTTTAAGCCATGCATGGTAGCGCCCGCCTTTAATCCCAGCACTCAGGAATCAGAGGAGGGAGGATCTCTGTGAGTTTGAGGTCAGTCTGGTCTCCATAGTGAATCCAGGCCAGCTGTGGCTACAGGGAGACCCTGTCTGAAACAAAACAAAACAAAAACAACAAAAAACTCCACATCACTTTGCTTTAGCTGTCCTCCTATCACCTCATTTCTCACTTATTACATGAAGTGTAAATGAAAAGTGAAATTACGAAAACATTTTAGCTCTATCGAGATAGTCTCTCTAATGCTTTTTGTCATGTATCTGCTGCTTTGCACACTCACCATCACCCAACACACACATAAGCTTTACTTTCTAATGTTTTTATTCATTTGTTTAATGTGAATGACAGCACTACAGACAGCTAATATTACAAGCTCAGTCATCCACTCAGAAAACCTCTTGGTCATGGAGGGAGTGAACGAGAATTTACAGGGTTCAATATTATTATTTCTTTTTTTTAAAATTTCATTTATTTTTATTTTATGTGCATGAGTGTAATGCCTGCATGTATGTAAGTGCATCCGTGCCATGCAATGCCTGAGGAGGTCAGAAGAGGACGTTGGATCCCTTGGAACTGAAGTTACAAAAGGTTCCTAGCCACCATGGGGGTCCTGGGAATTGAACCCAGGTCCTCTGCAAGAGCAGCTAATGCTCTTAACCACTGAACCATCTTTCTAGTCCTCAATATTATTCTTATAAGAAATATATAATCTCAACCCAACACAATAGTCACTAGAAAATGCATATAGGGTTTACTATGTATGAAATGTAGTTCTCAAAGTTTTTATAAGAATTATCTCAGTCAGCTGGGCGTGGTGGTGCACGCCTTTGATCCCAGCACTAGGGAGGCAGAGGCAAGCAGATCTCTTTGAGTTCAAGACCAGCCTGGACCACATAGTGAGTTCCAGGCTAGCTGGGGCTATAGGGAGACCCTGTTTCAAAAAGACCAAAAAATAAAAACTGAAAAAAAAGAATTAGCTCAGTCAATGCTCACAGCCCTGTTAAGGCATATGTCATGATCACCCAATGTTGTAGATCAGGAAAAGAGTATAAAACAGAGCAGAAAGAGTGATGACAGCCAGAGGTGAGCTTCAAAGCAGGGCACGGTATTACGTTTTAAATCTACTTAAAAATCTTCTACCTTTACTGAGGTCTCATTAACAAATAATTCCATATTTAAGGAGTATATAGATACTGTAAAAGGATTACTACAATAAAGCTAATTCATCTACGCACCATAAGTCTTTCCTCTCCTTCCCCCACTTTTCTTATGAGTGTGGTGAGAATACATAAGGCTGCTCCCTTAATAAATTTTAAGTATATAGTATGTCATTCTTTATTATTATGATTACTAATACTTAGGTTTTACTGTGACACTTCTGTGTATGCACATACCGCGATCATACCCCCTTCATTACCACTTTGAAACCCGGTCTGGGCTATGCTGTAGCAAATGTCTGTTCCCTTGAAGTTCAACTCCTACTCCATATGTTCACACCTATTTTCCCCTTACTCTACCCAACCATATACTTACCTCTTATTTGCCATTATTTGCCATTTGATATGACTATATCAAATTTATAATCTGTAGTTTTTACTAATAACTAGTTTACTAGTCACCACGTATAAATGAGAATACTACAGACATTAAAGATGACTGAGATGGTTAATCTTGATTGTCCATTTGATTGGATCTGGAACTAACTATGAGACACACCTCTGGACAGGTCTGTGGGGACATTTTCAGGAAGGATTACCTGACGGGAAAAGACCCCTCCACCTCTAAGTGGGGGTACCTGATGGCTGCTCAGATATAAAATGGTCCCAGGAAAAAGAAGTGTTGCTTGCCTGCCTTTGCTTCCTGCTGGAGAGTATGTTGACGCTGTTGCTGCTGTTGTCTCCATTCTTTGCTGCTATCACAGCTCCCATGTAAACAGATTATAAGCAACTCATTAAAAATCTTCCAGGCATTCAGGGCCAAAGTGGGACTGCCGAGGCATCCAGCTTCATAGACTCAACAGTAACAGGGTTCTCTGGGTCTCTAGCATTGGGACTGCCACGGTTGGACCACCCAGTCCCTCTCTTGGAAGCCGACTGAATAAAGCACTTTTATAAAACACACTCATTCTACTGCTTCTAAAGTACTCTTGACTAATCTAATATTCATAAAAGTAATTTAAAATCATAATTCAATTAAAAAATGAAAAATGCCTTAAAACAGCCTCAAGATTTATGAATTATACTTGCTAACATACCTTATATTCATTTTTATCTTGAAGATCAGAAGTAAATAATCTAATCTTCATATCAGCAGCTGAAGTACAAAATCTGCAAAAAAAAAAAAAAAATCAAACCTATTTTTAATCTTTGTAAATCAAAGTCCTCTCCCTATACCATCTTTCCCTCCAATTCATCAAAACCTTGTCATAACATATGAGAATGCCATTTTGGGTTAGGCAGGGGGGTTCTTGTAGCTCTGTAGTGAAAATTACTAGTCATTAAAGAAAGCAGGAGATAAATGTTTTACTTTGGAACATATAACATGTCAGTACATTCTGGACGTGTCTCTTCAAGTATAAACACATTGGGTTTTATATTAAGTCAGCATACTGCCCCTCTATTGCTCTGTTTTTCTCGAATCTTTGCTACTTTAGGGGTATGCAAATTATCCTTTAATGAAACCAGACAATCTATGTTGGGAAAAATTTGCTTTGCAGCCACTATAAAAGAAAAGCAAGCAAGGAAGAAAGGATAGGAAGGCAGGGAGAGAGAATCTTTGGGCTTCTGTGGGCCACATCAGATGAGCTGCCTTGAATCATACACTAAATAAATAAACATTAACAAAAGTGGATAAGTTAAAAAAAATGATAATTTTCTTATCTGCTATCAAAGATAAGCAGAAGAGTTTTCATATAATAATTCTACTTGTGTGGTACCTGCTTGGGGACTCTTCAAATCAAGTGGGTCTCAAGTAGGTGATCACTCATGAAGAAAATGAACATATTGAAGTACTAAGACTCCACTGACTTTTTCATTATTATTATTATTATTATTTTTCTGACAGGGTTTCCTATAGCCCCAGCCCACCTGGAACTCACTATGTAGACCAGGCTGGTTTTGATCTCACAGAGATCGGCCTGCCTCTACCTGCCTCCTGAGTGCGGGGATTAAAGGCCTGTGCCACCATACCTGGCCCTTGGTCTTTTTGAGACAGGGTCGCCCTGTAGCCCCAGCTGTCCTGGAACTTACTATGTAGACCAGGCTGGCCTTGGACTCACAGAGATCTGCCTGCTTCTGCCTCCCAAGTGCTGGGATTAAAGGTGTGCGCCACCACGCCCGGCCCAACATAATATAATTTAAAAAATAGTTTCCCATCAGTGCAGGTACTGCCCAGAAAGTGATGATGTAAATGAGATATAACTGTGAAATGAGGGATATCTGTCTCTGGAAAGACAGTACCTACAAAAACGTAGAAAAGAGACATGACCAAATTTTTCTTATTGAATGTCAGACTGCAGCTCCATGCACTGTGTTTGAAAACTGCAAGGTAACATATTTATATTGACCTAAAACTGAGTTGCAAAAATATCCAAATATTATTTTTCCCAGAAGTCTCGAAATCTGTTTTCAAATTCTTCTATCAGTTCTAAAGGTAAGGTTACTCAAAAGACCATGTTTAGCCAATGTGTCAAAATACATAAACTTGTTTGCCTTAATTTGAGTTTTCCATAATTCCAGAGTTTCATTTGGAATGCGGTTATGATTTAAAACATTATATTGATAAGTTGGTTTTCACTTTGGAGATGCTTGTTTCACTCCTTTAAATGAGCAGTTATACCCACTGAAAATGCTATGTGATGGTTAATCTTCATTATTACCTTAGTAGGATTTAGAATCACCATGGAAACCATTCTGTGGGCATGTCTGAAAGAAACATGAGGGATATCTGGGTATATCAACTTGACTGTATAGGCCTTGACATATATTACAGAATGCATGAAATCCAGTGGTGATGGGGGACTATAGGTGTGCAGACAGGGGAGGGGGGGGTCTCAATATGATTAATATATACTGTATGAAACGCACAAAAATTCAATATAAAAAGAAAAGAAAAAAATTTAAAATATTCATTTTTTAATTATCTTTGGGTTCCAAAAAGGATTTGAGGCAGCTCACAGGAAACTGCAAGAAACCCATTTAAAGAGAATGGGAAGAATCAACAAGGAGTGCGCTGAGTGCCTGTTGGGCAGAGCTCAAGTCACAACCACCGGAAGAAGACTGTTTCTACTTTCAAACCTGCTAACATATGGAGAGACGTGCTATAACTAGGTCCATATAACTGTGAACACTTCCTTCCTTTCAATACAAATGGAGACAAAGAGTAGACCAGATGCTGACAGTAATATGTGTATCGACAAGAGACACTGTATAAATTATTCAAAATTAAGTTAGTTTAAAGCTGTAAAATCTGCCAGGTGTGGTGGTACATGTCTTTAATTTAAGCACTGGGGAGGCAGAGGCTGAGAGGCAGGTGTATTTCTGCGTTTGAGGCCAGCATGGTCTAGGTAGTGAGTTCCAGACCAGCCAGGGCTACATAATGAGATCTGTTTAAAAAACAAACAAGCAGACAAACAAAAAATCAAAAACTGTAAAATCTTCTGGAAAAAAAAACAGAAGAACACCACCTTTACAACACAACCTTGTCATAGGCAAAGATATAAAGGAAACAAAATGAGGAAAGCACTCAAACTTATTAGTCACAAGGGAAATGTATCTTTTAATGAAACCAGAAAACCTCCACCAACGGAAATAAAATGACTAAAATTAAATATACTAAATGCTGGAGAGTAGGTAGAGAACTTGAACACACCCAATATTCATGGGAGTATAAAATGGTCAAAATACTTCAGAAACTGGAACCTCCTTCCCTGCTTTGTGGTGCTGGAGATAGAACCCAGGACCCTGTGCATGTCAGGCAAGTGTTCAACCACGGAGCCACATCCACAGCCCTAGAGACAGCCTGGCACTTGCTTAATACAGAATATATAGTTATATTGAACTCAGCAATTCTACTCCTAAGAGAAAGAAAACTATACATCCACTCAAGATGTATATATACAACTGTAGTTATAATAGCTAAAAATTATAGTTATAATAGCTAAAAACTGGAAATTGCCCTGTTATCCATTACAAGAGATGGATAAACAAGCTCAAAAATAAAAGAAAAAAGCACTGGCTCAAGCTGAAAGTCAGAAACCTTAAGCTAGTCACAAAAATCACATTCTGTATGATTTCATTTATGAAATTCTAAAATAGACAAAACTAATTTCTGGTCACAGAAATCAGATCAATGGTTGTTTTGGCAGGGAATGGGGTTTAGGGACTAACTGGGAAGGAATGTAGACTAGAATGGCTATGTACTAATAGAGTATGTATTATAAAAGTACATGCAGAGCTGGGACAATTGCTCAGTTGGTAAAGCACTTGTCTTGTAAATGTGAGGACCTGACTTTGATTTCCAGATCCATGTAAAAATGTCAGGCATAGTGGTGGCTTGTAATCCAGCGCTTGGGAGGTGAAGACAGGAGGATCCTTGAAGATTGCTGGCCAGGCTACAGTTACTAAGTAGTTTTCTAAAAGAAGACAAATTTTTGGCTTTGACAGTTGTGGGAAACAAGATTAGGGATGTGTAACATACCAGAAGTGACCTGATATATATTCTTGCCCTCAGAAAGATGGTCTCATAAATTGATTTTTCTCAAACAGCAATAATTATTTCTAAGTGTTTTCATCCAAAGTGAAGCCCAAAGGGACTGGAGATAGCTCAGTGGTTAAGATCACTGGTTGCTCTTGCAGAGACCCAGGTTCGTTTCCCAGCACCCACATGGTGAATAACCATCCATAACTCTAGTTCCATGGCTTCTTTGGGTATTGTACATAAGTGCTCTTATATACATACAGGCAAAACACTCATATAAATAAAAACAAAAACTTAAAACAAAACAACAGAAAACCCAACAGAAAACAAAAAAATCTGAAGCCCAAGGAGTAGAACTAGAGATTTATCCACTGCTAAACAAGAAACTTGGGCCTTGGCTTATGTCTGGGCAGAAAGGCTATACTAATGTTTTAATCAAACTTAGTCATTTTAACAGAGTAGTACTTTTTTTTTTTTTAAACACCTATTTATTTTGTATGTGTTGTGTACATGACGGGACACGTGTAGAAGTCAGAGGACAACTTGTGGAAGTTGGTTCTCCTTCTACCATGTTATTTCTGGAGCTTGAACTCAGGAAGTCATGCTTGGCTGCAAGTGCTTTTATCCACTGAGCCATCTTGCTGGCCCCAGAGTAGTACTTTAAATAATTAAAGGGGTAAAGTGAAGAGTCTGTGACAGCTTTGGATGGTTCTGATCAAACTGAGGTAAAGAGCTTTGCAGTTTGGACAACGTGGTCAAGGCACCAGGGCCAGGTATGTAGCTAGGTCACAAAGATGACAATCCTAAAAATTAAGTAACAGTAAAGTATTTCATCATTTAGGATTATGGAAAATGGACATAGATAACTTGGGATCACTTAATGCAAAGGTCATTAGTAAATATTACATTCAAAATGTTTACACTTACTTGATTACTGGAGGCAATGTATCAAGTTTGGTCTCTGGGCTCCAGGCTATGCCATCAACTCGGACTCCATGATGAAACGTTCGTAGTGTTTTATACTGAATTCCTTCAACGTCTGCTTCTTCCTCCTATATGAATACAGTAAATGTTTTAATGTGAGGGGAACAACAATGTAATTTATCAAGAGGCACACATATGCTTCTAAGAGTTCAGAAGCACATTAGATATAGAGAATTAACTGGTTAAAAAGACACTCTGGGGGCTAGAGAGATGTCAACAATTAAGAGCACTGGCTGCTCTTGCAGAGGACCCAGGTTCAAATTCTAGCACCCACATGGGGGCTAACAACCGTCCATAACTCCAGTTCTAGAGGGATCAGATGTTCTTTTCTGATCTCTGCAGGCACTGCACCATGACACAGATGTACCTACATACATGCAGGCAATACATTCATACACATAAAATTTAAAAAATATATAAAAAATAAAATGTTTTTAAAAGCTTTAAAAATATTTTAAAATTCTGGTGCTGGAGATGGTAGTTCCCAGTAATTTTTTTTTTGGGGGGGGGCCCTTTTTGAGACAGGGTCTCCCTGTAGCCCCAGCTGGCCTGCAACTCACTAGGAAGACCAGGCTGGCCTTGAACTTAGAGAGATCCGCCTGTCCCTGCTTCCCAAATGCTGAGATTAAAGGCGTGTACCACCATGCCTGGCTAGAATACTTGTTTAACATGCATAAAGCCCTGGGTTTGATCCCCTCATGAAAGAAAAAATGCAAAGCAAAGCAAAACAAAATTAACAAACAAAAAACTAAAAAATGAGATGCTTTGAAATCAGAGCATGCTAGGTAAATGAGTTATCACAAAAAAACCATCAACTGATGGTATAAACACTGCACATTAATAAGGCTTAATTATGTAGAAGATCCTTTGAGATACTAAGCCTGAAAGTCACAGTGTTATTTTCACACTCCACTATATATGTACTTGTTATAACTCACCTTTACCACTAGAGTCAATGAATAGTGAAATGAAATTGAAAATCAAATTAATTTAGTCTCAAACATTTGGTACTGGGTACAAGTGCTTCTAAAGGCAGTTTATTCACCTAGTTGTATTCTACTAAAACCAATTTCAGTTTATCCTCATGGAAAGGTGAAGAAAAAGCTGAATTTTAAAAGGCAAGACATCTGTCTGTGATAACATGCACCACAACCTGAAAAGTGGTCTCATGATAAAATTAATGGAAAAATTCAGATCCAGAGAAATAAGTGAAGACCAAGGTATCCAAGCGTTACAATGGCACTTGCCTCCATCAATGAGTGACATATAGCTTCAGTTTACAAGGGATGAGAAACAAGGTAAGTAAAGATACCAAATCAAAGATATGCATAGATCATCTGGGGCCTTTCACAGAGATGGTACAAAGCAATCCTATCTTTAGTCCTTAGTTCCTTGATGCATACTGACAATAGTCAAGATAAAGAATTGGTCTAAGTGTCCACCAGTGGATGATAAATAAAGAAAATGTGGTATATATTCACAGTGGAATACTATCTGGTCTTAAGAAGGAAACCACATCATTTCTAACAATATGAATTCACCTAGAGGACATTAAGCTAAATGAAATAAGTCAAACACAGAAAGCCAAATACCACATGACCACAATTACATGTGGAAACAAACTCATCAAAGTAGAGAGGAGAATGGTGGTGGGTTCCAGAAACAGAGGCAGTCATCAAGGAAGAAAGGAGATGTTGGCTAAAGGACATCAAGTTTCAGTTAGATAACTTCTTGAGTTCTACTTCTTTATGGTGACTATAGTTACTGATAATCTATTTTTCACATGGCAAAGGGACAAACTTTCACATGCTTCACCACAAAAATGAGGAAACGACCATGCTGTCTTTTAGCTATTCTAACTGTATATATATACATTGAACCACTACATTGTATCCCATATATAATTATTTTATGAAAAATATGTTTAGAGATGAAGATCTTCTTTTTTTAAATTTTTTTTTTAATGTGCATGCATGTATTGCCTACATGTAGGTAAGTGCACCCATGTTGTATAATGCCTGTGGAGGTCAGAAGAGGCTGTCAGATCCCCTGGGACTGGAGTTACTGACAGTTGTTAGTTGCCATGTGGGTGCTGGAATTTGAACCCGGGTCTTCTGCAAGAACAATCAGTGTTCTTAACTGCTGAGCCATAGAGATGAAGATCTTATATTTAAAATAAAAATTCAATTCTTAGAGGTAATATGGAAGCAGAGTCATAAACATCATTTAGAATTCATCAAAGACCAAAGGGGTTTAGAGACTGCATTTAATGTTACAGTGCTCATCTAATCGGTAGAACAGAGGACGGTGGAAAGTGGCAGGGTGTGAAGAGAGCTCTGAAGGATTCTCCAGAGGATATGCACTAACACTAATAAAAAGGCCAATAAATCCCAGATAGCTGGGGTGGAGAGATCCCAGATAGCTCAGGCTCAGTGGGTTAAGGGCATTTGCTATCAAGCCTGACAACCTGAGTTTGGTCCCTATAGTAGGAGAAAATTGACTCCTGAAAGGTGCTCTCTGACCTCCAGACATGCCACACGCTTCCTCTACTTCAGTAAATAAATTAAAAAAAAAAAATTAAGCCTCAGTCAGATAACTAGGAACAGCATAGTCAGACTTCAGAAAATTTACATATACACTAGTACCCGCAGACACACATACCTACAGATGAAAATACCTTAGCAACTGAAGCTAGAAAGAAAAGACCAGTCTTTTAAACCAGGTTGGTGGTACATGCCTTTAATCCCAGCACTCAGGAGGCAGTCAGGTGGATCTCTGTGAGGCCAGCCTGGTTTGCCAAGCTAGTTCCAGGCCAACTGGGGCTACAGGGAGACCCTGTCTCAAAAACACACACGAACAAAAGGACAAGTCTTTTTAATATAGCTTTCCTGAAAGATTAATAAGACCAATAACAAACTTCTCAGCAGGAACATTAAGAGCAGGAAGACAGTGGAAGTAGTGTCTCCAAAATGCTAAACTATAGAATCACAGACAGAACAAACTCAAAGTTTAAGAATAACACTGGATTACAAATTATTTTCAGAAAAATAAAAACTTGAGAGTTGCTGTCAATAGTCTCATTAAAGAATCTCCTAAAGCAGGGGCTAGATGGATCAAGAAGTAGATCTGGCCCATAGCCTGCTTTTGTTTGATTTATAAACTGAGAATCATTTCTACATCTTAAGGGATGCAAAAAACCAAAACCAAACCAAAGAGCAATATGCATCAGAGACTAAGATCTTAAGTGTTCACAAAGCCTAAAATATTTGCTATCTGGCTCTTCAAGAAAAAAGCATGCCAATTACGATGGTAAATAATGTGCTTTTGGGTGAAGAAAAATGATCTCACAAGGAAGGCTCAAAATATTAGGAGAAAAGTGAAAAAAAAAAAAAAAGACAAACATGGGTAAAGATGAACAATATTAGTTAAAGAGAACACAATATTCCATTTGTGAGTTAAAACAAAAAGCAAAGCTGGGTGTGGTGGTTCATGCCTGTAACCCAACATTCAGGAGGCAGAGGCTACAGATCATTAGTTCAAGGCCAGCTTGGGTTACACAGTAAGATCCTTTTTTAAAAAAGAAAAAATGACAGCGAACTTAAAAGATATCACAAACAATCTAAAGCAGAGATAACAGTTCAAAAGAGAAAGGTCTTCCTCATGAGGAAGGTAAAAACATTAATTTTGACTATTTAATTAAATATGGATATTCATGCTTTTTCATAATGATTAAAAAGAGAAACAGCATATAAAACTTCCAAACAAGGAGAAAAAAAAAAAGAGTACAAAAAAGGAACATGTAAGTTAAATCATGTTTTCAATACTAGAAAATGGAAAGTATCTCAAATACCCCACAACATAGCTAGCAATGGATCTATAAACTGTTTCATAACATGGTTGTGGTGAAAAAAAAATCTACTCCAGAAAGGAGGGTCTAGAAAATCCAATGTTAAGCAATGGCCCAAAGCATAAGAACAGCAAAGAATAATCAGTGTTATAAAGTATAAAATAAAAACAATATAATGGTTTAGAATGTTTATACATAACAGTATTATAAAGACAAATAAGGAACTGATAACAACAACAAACTGTCAACATCCCATAAACTGGTTGGTAGTAGATATATTCAGGGATTCATTTTATTAGTTTTCTTTATACTTTTTTTTAAAAAACATAGATATGTATTTAAAAATGCATGTGTTAGTAAACATGAATTTAATATGCAAATAATTGTTTTTTAAAATAAATATTTGATCAAGGCAAACACGTTTCAGAAATTTGTCTAAAAAATCTTCTGGTTTAAGTCACTATAGTTATCTTTTACAAGAGTGATGGGATTCTGTAACATCAAGGGGAAAATGTAGAGCACAAGGCTGGTAGATGACAAAGTAGCTACATCTACACAGGTATCAATATCTGAATGCCTGTTCTAAGAATTCCATTCACTCTGAATCTAAATGTATTGTTTCATAATATATACTCTTCTTGAATCCAAGGAAATGGACTGATCTATCCAAGACAGCCTTTAGGATTCTAGCCAAGTCATTTTCCAGATATCCTACCCAAGTCTATGAAGTCTAATACTATTTGAAAGTAACCTTTAAATTTCAGGTAATCCTTAATAGTTAACAAAAAGGTTGTCCATTAGTAAAATAAGCAAATAGAAATATACCTATCAAGGATAGAAAAACATTGCCAAAGCTTATTATTTCATAATTTTTGCATATAACAGCTGTCCAGCTGACAGATATGCCAAGGCAGGAACCACTAAGCAATTTTAAATTAAGTTTCACAGCCTAATCACAGCTGACTTCACGTCTATTTTTCCATACTTCTAAAAATGAAGTTTTATATAAAAACATTATTTTGCTACTGTAGTAACAGTGATGAAAATCAGGTCCTATATGTTACTCAAATTACTTATGGAATTATTGAGTGGTCACGGGGATAACGAAAATACAGGGACTGAACAGCCTAAGCTTTATGGATTACCAGGAAACCTTCTCTCCCCTCCTGGCAGTACTGCCTGTTTCTGAGCCAAGGAAAAGGGCAGTGTGTGTGTGTGTGTGTGTGTGAGGGGGGTACAGACAGAGATGAATGCATTTGGTTTAGTTTGGGGTGTAGGCAGTATTGTATAGGGAGGAAATTAAGAGACTCTGGAAAATTTGATGTACTAAGAATGAATATACAAGTCTCCAGCAGTAATTTGAGGTTGGGGTACAGCCAGGCTGACGCAAGGGCTATTCTAAGGATTTGAAAGTGTTGGGCCTTTCTACTACACCCATTTAAGGCGCATACAGAATTTCAGTTCATCAAGGGTGAACTTTACCTACTGCAACTCTTTCATCTAGTGCTTTCATCTTTATTTAAACATCTGAAAAAAAGAATTATATATACATACATAAAAATCTCTTCTCTGAACAAAGGGAAGTAATGGCTTTGGGGGCGATTTATTTGGTTGGGAGGTAGGGCAAAAAGAAAGACTTCTTAGTGTTAAGCAAAAATGTTTTCATGCGAATTCTACATCCTGTGCAATTTAGTGACGGCAAATATCCTGCCACAGCACCTCTTCTAGGTGAGCACATTGATGGCAGCTTTTAGTACCAGTCTTGAAGAACAGTTGCAGACAGAGGAGGCAAGTCATATACTTTGCCTAAGACCTCTTCCACCTGACAGTTTTAAATATTAATATTACTCTGAAACATATTCAGTTATATTATCTCCTCTGAATCACAGTACAATGTTGAGAAATAAAGATTATTACGCTGAACAGTATTATCACTTTATAGAGGAAGATACAGGAACTGTGTTGTCTGGTATGGTAACTACTGGCCACATGCAGCCCAACACATTTGAAATGAGGCTAGTTATGTACACTGTGGAAGCCATAAACTAGGTATATACCAAGACTCGAAAGAAATTGAAAAAATGAAATACAGCACTAACAATTTTTATGCTGATTATATATGAAGTATTTTGGCTACACTGGCTAAAGATATTCTATTACATTAATTTCATCTGCTTTAAGTATCATTCTTATTTTGTATGTGTGTATGTGGGTGCACATGTGCCATAATGCACATGGGGAGGTCAACTTGGGGGAATCAATTCTCTCCTTTCAGCATATGGGTTTTCAGAAACTGAACGCAGGTCATTTTTACCTGCTGAACCATCTCATTGGCTCCATTTTAAATTTCATCATAAAATTTAAATTTATGTTTATATTTGCGACTTACAAGATAGGCTTAGGAGGCTGTACTGAATTACCCCTTTGGCAGTTTAATCATTGTTAACTCATGGTTAACATTCAGTTGACTAAAATCCCCAAGTCACAATTGTCCCCAGTTTTAACAGTCTATTGTCTTAAGACTTTATAGTTATCTTTATTAAATTTTTGCTTGTTCAACTTGGTTCAATCTATTAAACAATGTTTGGATCTGAACATAAGAGCCTGGCATGCAAAAGACACTTAATAAATACTTGCTAAACGAAGTAGGTTATCCAAAGGGTTATGGTATGTTTCTCAGTTTCAAGTTTTCCACAAAACTAATGTGCTTGCCTAAGTCAATGCTTTCATTCAGGTCCAATTGGGAACTTCTTTATGATCCAAGATCTTTGAACAAACTTAGAAACTTTCATCTTCCTTTGGCTATTTATAAATGGCGCTTTTACGAGCTTTCTAATTGTGCTGATTTGAATATCTCCTTGAGGGTAGAGTTTTTGCTTTCTTTTTCTTCTTCACACCTCATATACTCATGAGTATTTGAAAATACGAGACAACAATCAAGACTTCACACCTCATATACTCATGAGTATTTGAAAATACGAGACAACAATCAAGATTACCATTTACACTCATGTTTCTGGATACCTAAAGGTATCTAATCAGGCATGAGATTTGGAAAACTGTTCTGTTGAAACTCAAGATTGTTTATGTGTAGTGTTTTCCAAATAGTCATAATGAAGAGTGATTTTTCTAATAGGAATGGGAAGATTGGTTCAATTTACCTTAGTTTTCTCTTAGGGGCTAGGGAACTGGGTGGTGTGGGAGAACAGGAATGCTCAATGGTGCTTTCACAGATAAAAGGGAGAAACAATAATTTATTCTGAATTTTCAATGGCAAATACTGAAACTTAATTCTTAGGGCTATTTGAACTACGAACTTGAATAGAAACAGGACAAGTTTTCACAGACAGAAAAGATCAGAAGTTTGAGAATGATGTCTTAAGTCTCATTTTTTTCATTTCTTAGTCATGCAATCCCCTAAACTTCTTTGAAAAAGAATGGAAAAATCCACGAGGAAAGGGAATCAACTGTATCTCTAATGTTAAGAACAGAATAGAATTTGTATTTACTATGTGCTGAATTAATTATAAAAGGGGGGCTGGAGAGATGGCTTAGCAGTTTAGAGCACTGACTGCTCTTGTAGAAGACCCAGGTTCGATTCCCAGCACCCATATGGCAGCTAACAACCTTCTGTAACTCCAGTTCTAAGAGATCCGACACCCTCTTCTAACCTCCGTTGGCACTGCATGACACGGGTACACTGACCTAAATGCAAGCAATACTATACTCATACACATAAAAATAATAAATAAAATATTAAAAAAACACTTTTTTCCCCTTAGATGATTTGGAAATAAGACCAACTTTGCCAGTCTCAGGATCTGCGGATCAATCAAGACAAATAAATTGTACTGAATATGGTTTTTCAAGCATCCCCTCCTCTTTTCGTCCCTTCCCTTTCTCTCTTTACTGCCCACCGTCTCTATTTTTCCTTTTACAAATTTGTTATCCCTTCTTGATTTCCTAGGTGATCATAAATTAGACGTAAATATATGTTTTACAGTGCTTTAAAAAACAATTCCGGGGGCTGGAGAGATGGCTCAGCTGTAAGAGCACTGGCTGTTCTTGCAAAAGATGAGGTTCGAATCCCAGGACCCACATGGTGGCTAACAGCTGTCCGTCACTCCAGTTCCAGGGGACCCACCACTCTTCTCTCTTCCGTAGCCACTGCATGTCACAGTACACTTACATACATACAGGCAATACATAAAATAAAAATAAATAAAATATTTAAAATACAATTCTATGCCCACAGCTATTAATTTAAAGAGTAATAAAGGACAGTCACTTCCATTTGTAAGGGCTGCTTTATTTTTTTCCTGCAGATTAACAGCCTACATTGGAATAGTTTCTAGTCAGTCTTTCTCAAGACAATGCTATATTATTTTCCTCAATCATACTTTTCATGATTTTGACAGTCCAGTCGAACTGAGGTCAAGGGTCATATGTAGGCTAAAAGCTAGAAACTCCTATCCCTGCGTAAGGAGACAATGAGATTCTTACAACTCTTATATTCCACCAAGATATAAAAAACCCTGAAATCTCTATACTTGTTCCTAGGATAAATGATTTTTGTATAACTGTACATTTATTGTACTGTAAGATATTAAACTGTATTTTGGTATCAAAACTAAGAAACAAAATTACTTCCTGAATAAAAAAACGAAATGGTGTTTTATTATTATTTTAATGATAAAGCTATTTTAGATCTTTGAAAATTAGTCACTGCCAAATTACCTTGATTGTTATTTGACAAATATAATTCTATAAATAACATACTCCAGAGGGCTAACTCTTCACTGTTCAATCGCTTCTACATGTAACCTCAGTTTCCTGTGAAAAAACTGTGTGGGCTCACTTTGAGGCGATCTTTGGTGATTGACTATTAGGGTGCAACTGTTACTGTTGTTCCTATCAACCACAACTAAAATGCACATATGGGTTACAGTGTGCCATGTGTGTCTTTCAGGAACTTTGTACATCCTAACTCATTAACCCTTTACAAACGCTATTAAGCACCATTTTCCTTACATTTAGAGAAGAGGGGTTAAGTACCTAATCAAGGTCGGATGCTTATTAAGTGCAGGTACACAGAGTAAATGCCTAAACATTTTAGTTCCAGAATGCACACAGGGCTATGCTGAACTGCCTCCTCTTACTAGAATCCCTCACTTTGCTGCTCTACATGTATGCTTCAGGTGCATAAAAAGTGTGAAAGCAAGTTAAGAGGAAGGCTGAACATTATGAAAGCCGTTCTTACTATGTAGCCCTGGCTGGCCTTGGAACTCGCTATGTAGACCAGGTTGGTCTTGAATCCAGATATCCACCTGCCTCTGCCTTCCGACTGCTGGGATTAAAGGGGTGCATCAACATAACTGGCTTCATTTGGAGTTTCTTACATGTGTGTATGTGTTTAGCTATGCTACAGTCTTTGATCACCAGAACATTCCATTACTAATTATAAGGTAAAAGAGAAGTGTCATCCTTTTCCATCATCTAGGGAGGGTTTACATGAATCTCAAGTATTACTGGGAATGACTTTCTCTGTGGATCTTCAAATCACTTTTTAAAGAAAACATTCAAACTCAACAAACTTTTAAGTTCAGCTTTGGTTTGTATAAATTTTCTTATCAATAAAATATCTTCACTGTCATTCACTGGTTTTCAGACTAACCTGAAATGTACATATGCCGATAACCACGTAATTGCTGCCACCATAAGCAATTAGATTTCCTGACTCCCCGCTCTCAAAGGGATTGAATGCTACCACGTGTATGTAATCTTCACAATCCACTGTGTAGGCAGCATTTCTTGTGGCATCTTGCTTCATCTTGTATGTCCAAGCTCGAGCAGCTATATGAATCAAACAGCCTTTTACTGGATGTCATGAACCTGTGAGTTATAACGAAATTACAAATAGTGTCAGTCATTCAACAAAAGAATCAAAATAAGACAGATTGCAATGTCACGGGCAGCTCCAAAGAAAATTCTGTTTATATTAACTAAGATAGACTTGGCACTTGACAACTGAATTTTAATAGAAAATATATTCACAAAAATGATTACATTAACATAGATGGAATACCATTTGTGATTGGCATGTGTAGCATTTTACCGATATTATCACACCTAATAACTGCATGAAGTTAAAAGCTGGTACTACCTATGGTGTCTTTTTACCCAGGAAGACATTTGGCAAGTAGAAGCAGGGTGAGGATTTAAAAGGTTATGTATGAAAAGGCATTAATGCTAGAGAACACAGACATACACACACAGAGACCTGCCTTTCTCAAAACTATGCTACATTATTTAATCATGCCTTTTTTGATTCTAATTTGACAGTTCAGCTGAACTCAGGTCAAAGGTCACATGTTGCCTAAATGCTAAGAAGCTCCTGCCTAACCCTGCCAAGAGAGACAGTGAGGTTGTCTAAAGGCCTTGAAAGATGTCACAATGTAGAGATGTCTAGGAATCAGCATGAAACTACAATAAAATGCGCAGCTACAAAAATACCTGGAGGAATGTGTGCTATAAAGGCAATACTAATAAAACCAGGCACAAAACCTTAACTAACCTTTCAGGGGGTAGGCAGCGAGCCCTGTAGAAACAGCAACCCAACATGAGAATTAGGAATTTTAGTTAAATTTTAAGCAAGAGTCATCATGGGCTCAAAACAAACACATCAAATATCTGACGAGTGTCTGCCGAGACTCAGATGAATCGCACCTCAAGGAACTTATTAATAAATAACCTTAACAAATGAGCATCACAGACTGGACATGTGCTACGGATGACCCGCGGGTCAGAATCCACGCAAGGCAGGGCGGTGTAGGAAGCACAGGGTCCAGGTGTGATGGCAGCTCCCCCACCTGCAGCTCATCAAAGTCTGGGGTCCCCACATTCCCAGGGCCTCCCACGCGGGAAAGAAAAGCAGTCAAGCCCCTCGGGGCGCCCCGACCGTCTCCCCGGGCCCACCCCTCGGGGTCACAGCGAACTGCGGCGGGCAGGGCATGGGCCCGGCGAGCAGCAGCACCGCGAAGCCCGTGGGCACTGCGCCGTACGCACCCAGCAGGTCCGAGCACAACTCTCCTCCGCAGTGTGCGGCCGGGCGTAGCCTCTGCTTCCGGGTCGAAGGACGAGCGCGTCGATTGGTTCCTGGGTCTTCCCGCGAGATTTGAAATGAAGCCGCTTCGATTCAAACTTGAAGGGCTGGATCCACTCCTCCAGGTCTCCGCGCCAGGTGAGCTTCGCCTTCCCTCTGCCCTCCTGTCGCATGTCCCTGGTTCATGTCTGATGGTTCGCATGTCCACTGGTTCATGTCTGATGGTTCAGGTTGTGGCTCTGGGAGGGCGTCTCGGTGACAGCGAAGTGCTGTGCGATAGGCAGCAGGGTTGTCTGCCTAAAACCCCCTAGACGCGCAACGGACCCGGGATCTAACCTCAGGCGTCTGCAGACTCCTACAGTTTCTTTCCTTTGTTGTTACCTCCTCTAAAGGAACGTTTAGGACCAGAATGGGACTATAACAGCGTCAGTGAGTTTATAACAGCCATTGAGCATCTTCTAAGTGCTGGCAAGAAGGGAGCTGTATATGTGTTTCACTAACTCCTCATAATTCTGTTAAAAGTAGAGATTATCTTCCACCTTACGCATATGAAATTTACGTCCATCGAGATGTACAGCTAATGAATGGGTGTGGTAGCAGGGATGCTGGACTTGAACTATACTGCAAAGTGCAGCTCTTTCATCCCTCTCACTTTGCCCTCTAGTGACAATTCCCTGTCCCACAATTTCTGCTCCAGTGTATCTTGAATCCAGGGTTTTAAAAAACATGGGTGATGCTAGATAGGTTGAATAGGCTCCAGTGGATGAACACACACTGAAGGAAATTTGGGTACACATACTTGACTCCATAGGCCTTAACGTATAGGCCTTACCATATATGACAGAATGTGGGGACTATAGGGGAGGAGGGGGTTTAAATAGGATTAAGATGTATTGTATGAAATGCACAAAAATTCAATAAAATACATATTGAAGAAAAAATGGACTTGTTACTTCTGCCACCTTCTCTTGCTGTTTTTAAATCCTCCCCCCATGTAGTGCAGCCTTCCACTCAGAGGACTTGTATTTTGTATATTCATTGTCTTTCTGATTCCTCACTATAGACTGGAAGGTAAGTACAAAGTGTGGGATGTATTCCTGTTTTCTATGTGGTAATACCTCTACCTGGGCTGCAGGGGTAAAGCTTGTGTAGGCTCCCCTAGCCACTGGAAAAGCTACTGGGGGAACTGGGACTATAGCAGAGGTTGGTTGGCAGGCCAGCTACACTGCCTGCTTTTTTTTTTTTTTTTTTTTTTTTAAAAAAAAGTTTTAATTGAATTTTTGTGCATTTCATACAATGCATCTTGATCCTATTTAGACCTCCTCCCATCTCTGCATCTATGGGTATGCCCCCCCCCATTGAATTTCATGCATTCTGTCACACATGTTAAGGCTATCAAGTCAAGTTTGTGTTCCCAAATGTCCCTCGGTGTGAATCTATCCACTGGAACCTGGTCAACTTCTCTAGCATACACTGACTATTTTTGAATAGCCAGTTCCAGAGCTAAGAAGTGTGTTACATGTTTAAATAGTTGTTGGAAAATGAAATAACGTTTTGTGACTTGTGAAAAATTATATGAAACAAAGATTTTGGTGTCCAAAAATAAAGTTTTAGTGGGGCCTTGCTATGTTCATTTGTTTATGCATGGTTACTGGCTACTTTCACACTACAAGGTCAAGTGAAGCAGTTGTGACACAAGCTGTAAGGCCTGAATGAGTCAAATATTTAGTATTACTGTTTGTGTCTTTCTAAAAAGTTGTAGACCCCTAAACGAGACTCTTGGCTTTCTATTCCTGGTAGTAATGCTCATTCAATTTTAACCCCAAACAGCCTAGAAGCTCATAATGCGTTATCATACCTTATTTCCTTTTTTATGTGCTTGGCATTACTATAAAAGCTTTATATGTATTTATATCTTTTACTTGTCACAAAAGTGCAATGAGATAGGAGCAATGTTCATTTCACTCCAAGGAAGCGGAGGCAAGAAGTGATATAACTCACTAAGATCTCATAGCTAGTACATGATGGAGCCAGGACTCAGGATGATCTAATTCCAGCTGAGTTTTCATTCATAGAAATCTAAACTCATAATACTTGTAACTAACACTAATAACTAGTCTGGTGCACAAAATGTTTGCCAGGTGAACTGATCATGTCACTGAAGCTCATGCTTTATTTACTTCTTCACTTTTTCCTTCTGAAGAGACAAGTGTGATATAATATATATATTTGTGTGTGTGTGTGTGTGTGTGTGTGTGTGTGTGTCTTTTGAGACAGAGTCTCTCTGCAGCCCCAACTGGCCTGGAACTCACTATGTAGACCAGACCAGCCTCGATCTCACAGAGATCTGCCTGTCTGCTTCCCGAGTGCTGGGATTAAAGGTGTGCGCAACCATGCCTGGTGGGTAGAGTGTGATATTTTTAAGAGAAATACAATTCTTAGACATTTATGAAGATTGTATTTATGGTTGTCTACTTGCATATTTAAGTTGCATCACATAGTATAATTATTTCTTTTTCATATATTTATTTTTATTGTATGAGTATGAATCTATTGCCTACAGGTATGTAAGTGCATCTGTGTTGTGCAATACCCACGGAGGTTGTAAGAGGGTGTCAGATCCTCTGGAACTGGAGTATGGATTGTTGTTAGCTTCCATGTGGATCCTGGGACTCAAACTTGGGTCCTCTGTAAGAGTAGCCACTTAGTAATTATTTCACAAGTGGCCTGTGCTTTATTTTTAACTGTACAAATCTAAGATGCCTGTATCCGTAGTGTGAAATTGTTCTCATTAGTAAAATTATATGCTAGCCTAGATGTCCATCAAAAGATGAACGAGTTGGGGCTGGGGAGATGGCTTATGGGGTAAAGTGCATGCTGCACAAGCATGAAGCCTGGAGTTTGGGTCCCCAGAACTGATCTAAATGCTGTGTGGCTGTTGTGGTCTGCCTGTGATCCTGTAGGCAGTGGAGGGAAGGAAATTGGCCACTCTGTGGGCTTGGGTATATAAAGCATTGACACCACATCACATTACTTTGAAAGGCTTTTGAATGCATCCAGGAGAAGTTATGAAATACAGTGATTTAAATGCCCAGGTTTTTGGTCTTAGAAATCTTGGATTTATGCCTGTTTGGTCACTTACTAGCTGTGTGACATTGGACATCACTTTTTTCAGGTATAAAATGCACTTTACATAGACTTACATTTTAGGACACTTGTGAATAGTAAGTGATATAATCAACATTCAGTTGTTGAAAAGTATCTGGTACCAGGTAGCTTCTAAATGTTAGATGTTATATTATCTGTTAGCTGTATAACAAACCACCAAAACGTTTGGTGACTGTAAAATAACAACCAAGTGCTTGCTTAAAACTCTGTAGGTCAGGAGTTTGGGCTAGTAGGTCAGTTAGTTGCTTCTTTTGCTGGCCATGCCTGAGTTCACCCATGTTGCTCAAGTTCACCTGGCAGGTTGATTGCTAGCCACATAGGATAAGGTAGCATTAGTTGACACCTGGAACATCTTATTTCTCTTTCATATGTCCTCTTCAGCAGGCTAGCTTGTACTTCATACAGCAGGCTCAGAACAGCAAGATAGTGAGAACTCCCCAAGACACTACATTGGATAATGAGGATCAGGAAAGTTAGCATATGATCATAGTCATGGCTATAAGTTACTATGGCAAGAGGACAAAAAATGGTATGAGCAAAGGGAAAAGGCACAAGGCAAAGTCCATGGAGATCAAGCACAGGCTTCTAGGCGTCCTGGTAGAGTCACATGGTCAAGCATTATTCAGCAACAGGTTGTGATAATCTATGTGGAATGTTGTCTACCAGGGAAGCTTATTAGAAACATCTCTAGAGTTTTTATTGGGGACTGAACTTATAAGTATGCTCTGTCTGGCATATACCAAAAATTCAGACTCAGAAGGAAATCAGGTGTTCAGCATGAACCCTATTGTTTATAAAACATTTAGCACAGTAAGATAGTCTTATTGGAAACTTTCTCAGAGCCTTGCTATATTTATTCTTCTGCTCAGACCTTTTAAGACCCAGGCTTCCCACTTGTCACTTATCATAGTCTGCTGGTCAAATCAAGTCGTGAGACTGCTCCAGATTCAAATGGGTAGAAAAGTAAACCACCTCTCTGGGGACAATAGAGGAATGAGAGGAAAGTTTTTTCCCCAGGCTACCACATATAGTGCCAGCTCTTTCAAAACAAGTATTTTTAAATGCAGATTTAATTAGTGATGTCTGTATCTATAATTAAAAATTTGCAGAATTTGCATGTCTGTCTTATGTGAATTTTCAAAATTGAAGGTTGGATTTTTGTTATTTCAAAAGATTTGGCTTAAGAAAACTAAAATAGAGGAAAATATGGTTGTTCAAAAATTGTATTATTCTGTTTTCCTAAATTTAATTAAATGCAATCTTGGTAAATATGAATGACATCTTGTTCACTACTTATTTTTCTCTTAACGGTGCTTGCTTACATGTTAGATGTTAATTTCCAATTAAGACAAGTCACTTTGACATTGTATTCTGTTCTACTTAGAGAATGGCTGTGCTTAATCAGACGTCTGTCTTGGACATGATTAAAGAGTTTAGAAGGAATTGGCATGCTCTCTGTGGCTCTGAGAGAACCACTCTCTGTGGTGCAGACTCCATGCTTTTGGCCCTGCAGCTCTCCATGGCAGAAAACAACAAACAGGTCAGTAAACTATTTTTAGTTCCACTTGCTTGTTTCTAAATTTAGATTTTAGTTGCTGCCCATGGAAATAAGCTTAAGATTAAGCACATCATTTTCTTTGCAGTATTTCCCTTCCTGTAATGGACTGTTTTCAGGAATATCTCTGCAGGTCTGTGTCAAAATATTGCAGTTGTAGTTTTCTGGAAAGAATATTGCAACTGCATTTGGAGTGATTTATTTTAAACTATTTCATGTGTATATTCGAACATGGGACATGTACATTTGGTATTTCATGGAAAACCTTAAAGAATAGTATGCAACTATTATGTTGAAATCTATTCCTATGTAATATGTTCCCTTATTCCCTAAAAGAAGCTCCAAAAGGGCAGATGTGATTTTTATTCAAATATAATACAAGTATTTTACATCTAGTTTCATCTCTGTTATATGGATTATTTCATTTTAAATTAGCTTATGCATCAGGACCATTTGGTAGGATTTTTAAAAACTATGCTCCTGGAGGCTTGGTGGCACAGGCCTGTAATCCCAGCTACTTAGAAGATAGACTTAGAAAATAGGATTATCAGAAGTTCAACACCTACCTGGACTAAAGTGTGAGATTGTGGCCAGTCTAAGACTCTGTCTCAAAATAAAATGTATAAAGGGCCTGGAGAAAGCTCATTGGATGAGTGCTTGCCTAGCATGTGGGAAGCTTTAGATTCATTCTCTAGTACTACCAATAAACAACCCAGATTTCTGGTCCTGCCCATCCAATTCTGGAAATTCTTTTTTTCCTAATCTGCACTTACATGCTTGAAACTGTGCTGTAGAAATTCTCTCCTAAGTGATTCTGTGGTAGGTAGCTTGGGCCCAGGGACCTTAAGAGGCTAGAGATGTTTGTGGTAGAAATGCCTTATGAATGCAGGCTACAGAGGTAAATAAATATTTCTTGTTTTCAGAGAGATCTAGATAAAGCAAGGTAAGGATTTAAGGAGGGATAAAAAAAAGCGGAAATCAGCTCTAAGGAAGAGTTTGGGGAGATGGAAGTCATGATTTGAGGTTGGTAAAGATATCGGTTTGACTAAAGAAGAGAGTTTTTTGAAGAGTAGGTTGACTTTAATGAGTGTCTTGGGGTAGGTAATGAACTGACATTTTTATGACTTGCTTTAATCTCACCTACCAGTAGTTTTTGAAGTTTCAGATTTCATAGACCAATAAAGTTTCCAAAAAACATTAGGCACTGACGTATAGAACCATTTCTTTTTAAAAATGTATTTATTATTATTTATCTTTTATGTGTATGAGTAATATTGCCTGCATGCATGCAGGTAGGTGCACCCATGCCATGCAATGCCTGTGGAGGTCAGAAGAGGGCGCTGGATCCTCTGGACCTGGAGTTACACTTGTTAGTCACTATGTGTGTGCTGGGAATTGAACCTGGGTCCTCTGCGTGAGTAGTCAGCACTCTTAACCACTAAGTCATTTCTCCAGCCCCTAGAACCATTTCTAAATAAAATCATTTAGGGAAAACAGTTAATATATATTATAACCAACTTTTAAAAAGGAAAAGTATTTTAACCCCTAAAAGTTAGGATGCCTATAGCCTTACAGCAAAGGACAGTGTGTTACCTTTTTCTGTTATTGTGACAGATAAAAAGTAACTTAAAGCCGGGTGTGGTGGTGCACACCTTTAATCCCAGCACTCGGGAGGCAGAGGCAGGCAGATCTCTATGAGTTCAAGGCAAGCCTGGTCTACATAATACCATCAAATTATATTGTTATGAAAATTACAAAAAAAAAAAAAAAAAAAAAAAAAAAAAAAAAAAAAAAGTAACTTAAAGGGAGGAGTGAACTTATTTTGGCTTATGGTTTCAAGGTCTTCATTCAGTCCTTTGTCCTTGGCTCCATCACTTTGGGATACAGGGTAAGGCAAAGCATCATGACAGTGAGAGCATATGGCAGAGCCTCCCCAACTCATGGAAGACAGGAAACAGAGAGAATAGACCTACGACGAGGTATAACATTCAAAACCATCCCCCCAGTGACCTACTTCCTCCATCTAAGCCCTGCCCCCTAAAGTTTCCAGCACCTCCCAAAATGGTGCCACAAACCAGGGACCAAGTACTCAATGCAAAAGCCCATAGAACACATTTCATAGTCAAACTATTACAGATAAGTTTTCCTATGCATGGAGAGTTGGCAGTTTTGCATATTTAAAATAGTGTACATTAAGATAAGTTTGAATGGAGAAAAATTTTGGCAATATTTTATCTTATGTAGTTATTAAAAATATTTATTGGGTTTTTATTAGGTGTCAGATATTATTATAAACATTGGGAATATAGTAATTTAAGAGATTCCCTGCTGTTATGAAATTGATCTTCTTGTGGGAAAAGGCAGCCGTACTCAAATAAGTTAGGAGTATTTTCATAATACATGTTATACAGAAATATAAAGAGGCAAACTGAGGAGTAATTGGGATTGAGGTAGAGAGGTTGTGGCTGTTTGAAGTAAGGCCAGGCAATGCTTGATATGGAAAACACCATTAAAGCAAATGAGAAGGAAATGCCAGTAACCCTGAGGATTTTTGCAGACTACCAGGCGCAGAGCTTCAAGGGCCCCAGGTTGGGACTATGCCTGGCATGGCTGAGCAGCTGCAGGGGCCAGTACAGCTCTTTTATGAAAATCTGTTGCCCCCTTTTCACGGATTTATTTTTCTCTTCTTCCTCTTCCCCTTCTTTTTCTTCTTACTTGGTGGAACTGAGCCTTATCAGGCAAGTGCTCTGCCACAGAACTGTATCCCCAGACTTCTTTTTATGTTTTGTTTTGAGACAGGTCTCACTAAACTGTCCAGTTGGCCATGAACTTAGCCCAGGCTGGACTTGAACTTGTGATCCTCCTGCTTCAGCCTGGCAGGTAGCTGGAATTACAGGTGTACAGAGATCTTCTATTTTAATCCCTGCCAGTTCTCTAGGCATTGTGGTGGTAAATGTTGGGGTAGGAGTGGTGGACAGGGGTGTTGGTGCCTACATTCATTAAGTTTATTACTCAAAGGTGAAGAAATAGATGATTATACAAATAATAAAAAGCAAGAGCTAGGAGAAGTATGTGATTCTCCAAAGCCAAGTATTTGGTTTGGTGAGAGCAACCAAAATGAGTCCCAAAGGAAGGGAAGAGTTAACCAGGTAAAAGAGCAAGGGGCAAGACAAGGTCATTGCAGCAGCAGTGCGCTGGCGGAGAGCTTGAAAAATCCCAAAGGGCCAGGCTCCCTGAAGAGGTGGGGTAGTCCTTATTTTTAATCATGGTTGTTAAAAATAAATTTTATACTGATGTGTTGAGTAAATTTAAGTAGTACTTTTTTTTTTTTTCACTTAGTATTTTGAGAAAAGATTGATGGGAAAGTTGCAAGAATACTACACTAATTCCTGTGTACCTTCCACCTAAATTCACAGATTATTAACATTTTGCCACATTGGCATATTGTTCTAGGTATGTTCTGTTGCTGTGATAAACACTTACCAAAAGGAAGTTGGGGAGGAAAGGGTTTATTTGGTTTACATGTCTCCATCCTAGTTCATCGTTGAGGGAAGCCAGGGCAGGAACCTGGAGGCAGGAACTAAGCGCAGACCATGGAGGAATGCTGCTTAGTGGCTTACTCCTCTAGACTGTGCTCAGCCTACATTAAAAAAAGAATTTTATTATTTTTATTTTATGTGTATGAGTGTTATGTCTGCAGGTATGTAAATGCACCGGTTTTGTGCAGTACCTGTGGAGGTCAGAAGAGATGTGGGATCCCCTGGAACTGGAGTTAAGTTTGTTAGCTTCCATGTTGGTGCTGGGAACCAAACCTGGGTCCTCTGCAAGAGCTGTGAGTGCTGTTAACCACTGAGCTATCTCTCCTGCCCCATAGTCAACATTTTTGACAAAAACAACTTGGAAATGTGTTCCTCAAAGAGCATTTCATTTGGAGGAAGCATGATAGAGCATTGTTCCATGACTGATGATGCTCTTCTCTTACTGAAGACCAGCAGAGTTGGGTCTGCCAGGTTTCTTCAGGAGGAAAGCTTTGTTCTCTCCTCTCTTCATCTTTTCATCATCATCACCTGCCAATCACCAATCTTTGTATTGTCTTCATAATTTTGCACTTTATTTTTTTGCATATACAAGTATACACAGGTACCTGTATATGTTTATATAAGCAAATATTTATGTATATATAGTACGAAAGTATATCTCCACATGTATACAAGTCCTTCTTTATGAATCACTTGATACAAGGCAGCCTGAGGTTTTATCCCTAGAAACTTCAGCTTGTATCTTTCGTATCTAATGTTACTGTCTTATCTAATCACAGTACAGTTGTTAGCTTCAGGGAATTTTACTGACGATAGTCTATATTTAACACAGTATTCTCCATCAGCAGAAATTAATCATTTGGCAGAAATCTGAATGAAGAGTCCCCAGAGAAGTCAGAGTACTAAAGCCTTTCCAAAATCACTTCATTGGGAAGGATCGCATTATCACCTTCTGATGGAAAGTGATTTTTTTCCCTAGTGTTCATATAAAGAGTGTTAGCATCTTAGGAGGCTTTGGCTTTGTATGGCTTGCTGGTAGGAAGCTTTCCTACCTACCTTGTAGGTAGGATACAGCTTTCCATCTTTATGTGTTACATTTATATCCTCACTTGAGTGCTCAGCATTTTTGAAATTCATGTTTTAGGGTGCCAAGGAGTAACAGATGCCCAGAAATGAATGCAAGCCCCACTGTTTGTTTACCCCACTGTTATGGCACTTTTCCCATTAAAAAATTTATTTTTATTTTATGTGTATGAGTGTATTGACTGCATGTATGTAAGTGCACTACTGTTTTGCAATGCTTGTGGAGGTCAGAAGAGGGTGTCAGATCTCCTGGAACTAGAGGTTCTGATGGTTGTTAGTCACCATGTGGCTGCTGGGAATCAGACCCAGGTCCTCTGTAAAAGCAGGTCTTAACTGCTGAGCCTTCTCTCCAGCCCCCTCCTC